ATTATTGATTCAGTATATTATCGATTCAATATATTATATATTGATTCAGTATATTATATATTGATTCAATATATTAGTGATTATATTATTGATTCTGTATATTAGTGATTTAGTATATGATTGACTATATTATTGATTCAGTATATTATATATATATTAGTGATTATATTATTGATTCAATATATTAGTGACTATATGATTGATTCAATATATTAGTGATTATATTATTGATTCAGTATATTAGTGATTTAGTATATTGTTCATTATATTATTGATTCAATATATTAGTGATTATATTATTTATTATATTATTGACTATATCATTGATTCAGTATATTACTGATTCAATATATTATTGACAATATTATTGAGTCAATACATTATTGATCACATTATCGATTCAATAAATCCTTATCATCATACACTACCCAACAACAATAAAAACGAGTCACAAGACTCGACCAATCATCCCCCGTCACCCCAAATCATCCGTTTTCGTTTCCAATCGCCGAATGGCGCAATTCTGGACAATTTACTGCATCCAGAACAAAATTATACACCGTTGGCAAACAAAATAAAACAGATCAGCGCCGCCTGGTACCGACCTACAAGATCGCACACAGGGCCGTCGGTTACGTCGTCTTTGATAATCGAATCACCGTGCCGCGCGCGCGCGCGCGCGCTCCCGATCAGAAATTAAGGTCGACGTCGATCATTGTTAGCGAACGCTGAATCGAACGCGGCTAATGACACGATCGGTATCGCTTTGTCCCCATCCCCCCCCTCCCCACCGAGATTACCGGGCGAGCATCGGCGGGGCTTTAATTACTGTTACCAGAATCGAGCGAGTTTTCTGAGCAGAGATCGATCGACGTGTCGCGGTGCACGTCGCGGCGCAGAGCCGCCGCGTCTTCGACGGACACGACGGTCGAGCGTGTTGCAACGGGACAGTGATTAGCCGGGGCTTCTTCTTTTGATTAAGATTCTTTTGTGCCCCCACCCCTCCCCCGCACCCCGGTGTACCTTCGGAAAGAGGTAATTGCGAATTACGAGGTTCTAATTAGAAATCCGTTGGACCGTTTCACGGGCGCCGCGATCCGAAATTGCAGTCCTCTGCGGAGGGCAGGAGGGGGTGGGGCGAGGCGGGGGGAATCGCAACGCCTACACGCCGGCGTTCGCCTGACCTGGAATCCCGAATTAAAGGCGACAATTAAAACGTCCGTCGGCTCATTTGATTGGCCCCCGGCGCCGACCGGCGTCGACTTCCTCATTGATCGTGCCGTGTGATTAAAGCCGCCCGCTCCCCCCCTCCTCCCTCCCTCTCCGCTACCCGCCTGAGAGTGAATCGAAACACGCGGCGCGCGGCCGGGGCTTATTCCCGATAACAGCTATCCGCTGTTCTTTCCCCTCAGATAAGACACGCTCCCGTTTAGAAAACCAAACTTGTCTTCGCGCGCGCGCGTGTACCTCCGGTGATCGATTCGAATTACACGGGAACTGCATTATCGAAATGCAAGTTGCTGTTCCGGATGTCGTTGCCGGATGATGCTCGCGACCGACACAATTTTATGTCGACGCAGGGAACGAACCGAAGTGTTAAAAGCTCGGCTTGCCGAGTTGCTCGGTGTGGGTCAGTGTTTTAGGGAACACTGGAGGGGAGGGGGGTGGAGTTGTTGGAAACCTAGCAAACCCTGAGAGTACCAAGAAGACTCCTTGGTACTTTGGGAAGCATGTTTTAGTAGAGGATTTGGTATCTAGCTGTTTTTGCTGAAGAGGACATCTTCAATATCTAGCAGACCCTAGTAGAAGAAGAAGAAGAAGAAGAAGAAGAGAAGAAACCTGCTAGAGGATTCTTCAGTATTTTAGCGAGAATAGCAGCAGCCTCCAACTTAGCAGATGCTACCTTAAAGATCGCTGAGAAAGACTCGTACCAGATAACAGCATTAAGGATAATCGGATATTAAAGTCACAAGATTCTGTTCTCTCCATTTCAATTCAGTAATTTCTCCCTGAAGTGCCAAATTTTGGGGTGCTGGGAATTTCCCTGTGTCAGTACTACGCATATGTAATTTATTACTACGTCGCGGCGCGACGTGCATTTTCGGCAGATATTACGAAATGTTCTGTTTGCCTTCGAATCGTGTTATGTAGTCTCTGAATTGCCTCCGAATTGCCTTCGTATAGTGTCACGTGGCCTCTGAATTGCTTTTGAATCGTATCACGTGGTTTCCAAATTGCCTCCGAATAGTGTCACATGGCCTCCGAATTGCTTTCAAATCGTGTCACGTGACCTATGAATTGCCTTCGAATCGTGTCACGTGGCCTGAGAATTGCCTTCAAATCATGTCACGTGGCCTCCGAATTGCCTTCAAATCATGTCACGTGGCCTCCGAATTGCCAAATTGCCTTCGAATCGTGTCAAGTGGCCCACGAATTGTCTCCGAATAGTGTTACGTGACCCCCGAATTGCCAAGTTACCTTCGAATCGTGTCACGTGACCCCTGAATTGCCAAATTGCCGTCGAATCATATCACGTGGCCTCCGAATTGCCCCGAATCGCGACTCAGTATTCTCAGATCCGCAGCTTTCGTTTCCGACCTCCAAACACATCTTTTTCGTAAAATCACTGTACTCAAAAAATCCTGCTAAAAAATCACTTCAGTCTCGAAAAACAGGCTTCCCGTAAATCCTGAACATAGAGGAGCCTCGGCAGAAGCAAAAACACTTGCACCGCGGCTACGATACCGTGGACAAAAGTGGATATCGCGCGATACCCGGAACTTGTAATGCGATTAAGCTCCGCTTTATTACCGGGAATCTCGTTCGGCTAACCGAATATAATAGTTGAATCACGTTGAAGCTATCGCTTTATAATCGCGTGGAGACGCAGTCGGTGAAATAAATCAGTCGGACCGTGTCCGGATTCGTCGGATTAACGGAGGCAGATAGGAATTTTCGGCCCGTGACTTAATTTACCGGGGCTCGCTCGCTCGCTCGCACTCGGTTCTCCCTGTTCCCATCCCCCCGTTCGTCAACCAACTCTCTCCCTACATCGCACGACAACTGGGGCGACCAGCGCGGGGGACGATAAAGAGGTTAATACGATTTTACGCGGCAAACGAGAGAAAATACCGTGGGTGTGCGCGTCCGTCGGTGCTCGTCGGCGACGGAAAAGACCAACTGGGCCAACGGGCGACAACCGGTCTCGGGCTATGCAATTGTTTAGCGCGGAATCGGGGCCCTTTGAGTTCCGGGGGCCAGTGTTGCCACCTCCTCTATTCACAAGTCTGCAAAAAATACTCAGAGCTTCGAATCTGCGGCGCTGGATGCGTAAATCACTCGATCACGAGTCCGGACTATCCGCGATGGAAGCGAAAAGCATCGTTCGACGAGTCTTGGCAACGTTGCATCTATGGCTGGAATTTTTCGAGATCGTCTCCGGAGATGTCCCTGCATTCGCTCGCGCCTCCAGAAGTCGGTAAATGTCCGTGAATCCACAGAAAAAGCAGCAGACGTGGCAACGCCGCGACGGGGGCCAGTCTCGGCAACGTCGCATCTATGGCTGGAATTCCTCGCAACCGCCGCCAGAGATGTCGCTGCATCTGTTCGCGCCACCAAAAGTCGGTAAACGTCCGCGGATCCATCGACAAGCCGGAAGACGTGGCAACATCGTATCTATGGCTCGAATTTCTCGAGATCGCCTCCGGAGATATCCCTGCATTCGCTCGCGCCTCCAGAAGTCGGTAAAAGTCCGCGGATCCATGGAAAAGACGGGAGACGTGGCAACGCCGCAACGAATGCCAGTCTCGGCAACATCGCATCTACGGCTGGAATTTCTCGCGATCGCTGCCAGAAGTCCGTAGGCAAAGTTAAACGTCCGCGAATGCACGGAAAAGACGACAGACGTGGCAACACCGCAACGGGGGCTAGGCGGACCCAGTCCGCGAATCGGCAACCGCGCGGCTAATGGCCGGCGAGCGTTGTTGAAATATTGAAGGGAAATATCGCCGCGCCGTCTATGGCCGCGTAAAACTTCTAAATAGATGCCTAACGACCCGTTGCCGGCGCGGAAACAAGAGTTTCGCCGGCGCCCTGTTCGGTCGGGCGTCATCGATGCGCCGGGTCTCCTCTATTTTCTTCGCGAAACGCCGCGCGAACCGGCGGGGAAAAAAATGGTCGCCGCGCTAACGGGAACCGTTCCGCCGCGTAAGGATCCTAAGTGCTTGTAATTGCCGCGTTAGGGTCGTTGCGGAAGCCGCTCGCCGATCCACGGCCTGCAAATTGGCGAGCATCGTGCCGAACGCGCTTCGGAAAGCAGACTACGATCCGTGTGAAAAGTAGATTCTTTCCTTTCGCGTTTCAGTCTGGAACGACGAAATCGATGAAAAAAGATTTTCGTTCTTGAATAGTTTTGCGAGAAAATTTCAGGGTGTTGTATTTTCTTTCGGAGTATAATTCGGGATCGTCGAATCGAGTTAAAAAGTTCTCCGTACACTTTATAATAGTGCAACAATAACCTAAACCATCAAAGATTTTGCGTATATTTTTAAATCACTTGAGAGCAAAGTAATCTCGACAAAAATGTCTGATCTGTAGCTAAACCCCTCTATCCTACCGTATGTATACGTTTACCTACTTTAAGTACGGTTGCCAGAAAAATAAGCTAGATTTCAAGCGGAAAGAGTGGTGGTAGGCCGAGTGACGCGGCGGCGTTCGGTGATTCCCATACGTCTGTCGTGTCACGTGATCTCTGCACTCAGTAGTCACTCTCCTAGCTTAAAATCTAGCTTATTTTTCTGGCAACCATAATCGTGCGACTGCGATGACCTATATTCGGAGAACGGTCCTAACAACTTTCGTTAATCGCTTTAGCAATGGCTACCGTTTCGCTTATTTGGTTCTCCAATTCCCAGGCTATTTTATTCGTTTTTTTATTCCGTACCGATTTTTATTCTCTTATACCGACTAATCGCTGACGTACTACGGTTTCTTCGTTGCAGATGTTTTGAGGCGTTATCGGTCGGCAAAGATGAAGACCGTAATCGCGTCGTGTTTCCTGCCCGTCTTTGCGCTGATCAGCGGCGTGGTGTCCGTCGATTGGAAACACAGCGCCGCCCTAGACGACAAGTTCCTGGTCCTGTGGACGCCCGGCGAGAACGATATCATGTTCGAGATCCAAGTGAAAACCCTCGGCTACATGGGCTTCGGTTTCTCCAAGGACGGCGACAAGGTCCGAGCGGACATGGTCATCGGATGGGTGGACAATAACGGACAGCTCCATCTCCAGGTAAGTGTCCCCGAGGACGACCCGCCCCGGCGGAGTTCTTTCACGTTTCTGGGATCGTGCAGCTCCTTTCGCCTTACGAAAACGTTCCAGATTCTCGCTGGAAAGTTAATCGCCGGTCTGCAGTTGTCGCGCAGCGACCGTTCTGACCTTTTCCGATTTTATCGCGAATAACGTCGAACGAGGAAATTAAGAGCAATTAACGAAATTTTATTTCGATCAACCGTCGTCTTACCGCTGCAATTACAGTGTCAATGAATAGCTGAGATTCCGCCGATTAAAACGAGTCCAAACACGACGCAAATCAGATCGGTTCGAGGTGACCGCGATGTACAGGGTGAACAGAATAATTTGATCATTTCGAATATTTTGCTTGCATCGACGTCCTGTAAAAATATCGAAGTTAGATATTTCTTGGCGAGTAATTACGGATCAAATATGTGCGAACATTGATCTATTGCAATCGCGAAAATGTTTAAAGCATCAGGTTATTGCGATCACTCGGTATATGGTAAGAAGCGCTTCGCGGTCCGATTTCCGTCGTGTTTGGGCTCATTTTAATCGCGCGGATCTCAGCTATCCGTTGGTGCTGCGATCATAATCAAATTATATTGTTTTTTCGAAATACGATCTTCGAAAAATTCACTTTTGGCCCGGATAAACGTGTTTCCAGTGGCCAGAGCGCGTCGCCCATGGCCGCGGATGTCGCGGCTGGCAAAAATTTGCTCAATTATAGTCGGGGAATTGAAAATAATCGACCGCCGAGACGATTACTTGCATCGGCGGTCGCCCGTCGCCGGATTATATTCATTTCCCAGGGCCCGACGTGGAATAATTTCAACTAATTACTCTTATGCTACCGATCCGATGCGTCGAACGTCGTCGAGCGCCGCTCCGATGGGCAGGGCCACGGTGGAGGGGGTGCGGGTACAAGCATAATGATAGTCCTTTCGGAGATAAGTAATGGGTTTCTCGTTTCGATCGGTGGATCGGATAGTTATCAATCTTGCCAACGAAAGCCAGCGGCCTGTCATTACGCGTGCTCGTCATTTTGTACGACACTCGGCCGTTTTATTTCTCGCGGACGATTATCTCGGACGATTTTCAGTCGCCGTGCATGATGTATCGCTTTTCTGGTCCGGCTGCTACGGAACGGATAACATTCGACCGGGAAGAGTCCGGGGAAGGGGAATAGAAATGCGTCTGTCCTCGATTCGAAGTGTCGCGGCGGAGATCCGCGAGCGTTTAAAATATCTTGGCTCCTCGATTCAACGGTTTACAACGCTCTCGACCGGTCTCTGAAATCGCGGCGGATGTCGCTCGAAACCAGTTCGATAAGTCTTCTGTACGCGCTTTAAATTTTCTCGACTGCGGCTAGATACGGAAAATAAAGCAACGCGGGATCTGAAGACGTAAGAGCGAACGTAACATCGGCGTTGCTATGTTTCCGGATTTTTTAAACATTCATTTCGCAACTGAAAATTCTGAAAAAATTCAGAGCGTTGTGTCCTGTCAAGTAGACGCTTCGTGAATTTTTTCGGAATTTTCGGTTGAACACAACTGAAACATTCGAGCATAATCTTTTGCCCCTGTGATATAGTCTGCGATCTCAAGTTTCTGGATTTTTTAAAAATCCATTTTGCAACTGAAAATTCTGAAAAAATTCAGAGCGTTGTGCTACATTAGGTAGGCACTTTGTAAATTTTTTCGGAATTTTCCGTTGAACACAAATAAAACATTCGACCATAACCTTTTACCCCTGTGATGTAGTCTACGTTCTCAAGTTTCTGGATTTTCTAAAAATCCATTTCGCAACGGAAAATTCTGATAAAATTCAGAGCGTTGTGCCCCTTTAGATAGTCACTTCGTGAATTTTTTCGTAATTTTCCGTTGAGCAGTCCCCGAGCAATCGAGCACAATCTGCCACATCGATTTAAATCCACTCCTGTGGCGTAGTCAGCGTTCTCAAGTTTCAGGATTTTTCAAAGATTCATTCCGCAGTCAAAAATTCTGAAAAAATTTCTAGCGCTGTATCCCATTAGACAGACGATTTACGAATTTTTTCGTAATTTTCCATCGGGTGAAACGAAAGAAATCGGTTTCGATTTAATCGCGGAAGTACTCTCGCGACAAGTACTTGAGATTTAGCTTAGCGGTTTATCCGGAACCGGGCCATCGAGTAGCCTAAACAAAAGTGAGTTTGTCGGGGTGACGTTCGAGCATCTTATCCGACTATGCCCTTTAAAACATCGTCGCCCGTCGACGTAAACCCTTCTCGAAAACCGGACTCGGGAGGATTACGCGGTATCCTCCCTTTCATCAGCGCAGCGCGGCTGTTGTCACTTTACCCGGGTTTCTACGTAAGCATCGGGGGCCCCAGCGCTGGGAGATGAATGTCATATTCCCTTTTCCTCGCCCCCCCCCCCTGCCGGAGCTTTCCTCTCTGACGCAAATGGGACGGCCAGCGGCACACGAGCAACCGTGACTTCGCTGCTTTCTCCGTCGCTGTTTCTTCTTTGCCGAGCGCGGCGGCGGCGGCGGCTCTCTCATTTGCCGGCTCGCCGTTGAATATTTCTTTTAAAACGGCCCTCCGCGAGGACCAGCAACGCGGCCGCGCCGCACCGCGTTCCGTCGCGTCGCCACGCCGTTTCATCATCGCCCAGGCCGTGGCTACTTCGCGCGGAATTTCCTGGCGACGGCGAATCCGCTTGGCGTCGCGCTCTGCGTCACTGTCAACAACGCGACAGATGTTCCTCCTTTTCTGATTACCCGCCACGGTTAACGACTACAATTTCCCCTCCAGTCTTTTACCGTCCTCGGGCCGCCAGTAATTTCTGTGTATTCCCGCGGCCCATCGAGCCGTCGTTCGCGATCCTCGCCGATGCACTGACCCCTTGACCCGTCACTTCTTTTTAGGCTGCGGTGATTGACCGTCGTTATCCAAGATTCCGAGATCGCAATTAATTGCAAAGACAAATCCGAGAATACTAGGTTACGAGTTTTAGAGACTCGCGGCAATTCAGGGATCACGTGACACGATTCGAAGGCGATTCGGTGGCCACGTGACACGATTCGAAGGCAAATGAACCATTTTGTATTGTAGCAAATGCATTGTAAATAAATTACATAGGCGTAGGACTCTAGTACAAGGCCAGGATTATGTCAGCGTTATGTCAAGGTTACGTCAATGAGCATTTTGCATTGTAGAGAAAACTGTGTAGCAAAAGCATCGTAGCATAGCTTTTTAGTAATTAATTACATAGGCGTAGAACTAGTACAAGGTTATGTCAAGATTATGTCAAAGTGATATCAAGGTTCTGTCAAGATTATGTCAATGACCATTTTGTAATGTACCAAAAGCATAGTAGCATCACGTCGTGGCAATAAATTACATAGGCGTAGGACTAGTGCACGAGGTTATGTCAAAGTTATTTCAAGGCTATATCAGGGTTATGTTAATGATCAATTTTGCATTGTGGCAAAAGCTAGGTAGAAAAAGCATTATAGCATCGCAACGTAGCAATAAATCACATAGGCGTAGAACTAGTGTACAAGTCTATATCAAGGTAATGTCAAGGTGATGTCAAGGTTTTGCCAAGGTTATGTCAATGACCATGTTGCATTGTAGCAAAAGCTATGTAGTAAAAGCATTGCAGCATCGCGTCGCGGCAATAAATCACATAGGCGTAGAGGCAGCACAGAGAAATTCACAGCAACCCGCAATTCGGCAAATCCGGATCGAATTGACTGTAATTGAAAAATTGTTTTACTCGCGAACAAATTCGTGACGAATACAAGAACAGTCCCTTACGGCTTAACAATTTGAACTTGTCTGGGACCTGCGTCGAACCATTGACTGGAACGCCACTGATTAGAAAGGCAGCAGTTCGCTAGAAAACAACGAACGAGACAAGAAACATTTCTCCGAGCCGTCTGCGCGGCGGTGAGTTACACACCGCGGAATTTCGGTTCGTTTCGTGCGAGGAGGCGCCCGGAAGCGAGGCGTGAAGCCACGCGAGGAAAAGAATCCTGGCTGAATTGGAACGGGGGCTACGGTAAGGTGGTGGCGGTGTTCGAGCAACGGGTGCAAAACGAGCATCCATAAGGACGAGAAATCGAGCACTAGCAGAGAAAGATAACAGCGGAGAAAGAGAGCGAGAAATAGAGAGGGGGGGGGGGGGATAGAGAGAGAAGAGAGGAAGAGTCAGGGAGCGAGAGGGGGGACACAGGGCGAACGAAGAGAGAAAGAGAGAGCGCGAGAGGCAGGAGCCAGAGGGAGAACGAAGAGAGAAGAGAAGGGCGGGGGGAGAAGAGGAAGAGAGTCCGGGGTCGGTGGTTCGGGCCGGTCTCTCGGACGCCCGCGGCTGTTCTGGTTCTAAGATTACGATCATAACGAAAAACCTTCTCGCTCCCATTGGCCGTCAACTCCGTGCGCCCTTCGTTCTCTCTCCCTCCGCGCGTCCCGCCGATACCGCTGTCTCGGCCCGTCCCGTCCGGCAGCTTGTCCCCCACCTTTTTCTTCGTGGCGTCGTTCTCCGTATGAGAACGTCCGGCGACGGCTGCATCGCATAGAGCATTGCGCGGCACGGCATGCATTATGGAACGAGCGGGCAACGATTCTACCGGAAAAATTGCGGACACGCGAGACGGACGCGATCTGCAGCCTGACTACCTAACCGCCTACTCTGTCTCTCCCACTCTCTCTCTCTCTCTTCTCCTATTTTTCTCTCCACCTACTTTCCGTCTCTTCCGATTTCTCGCTCCTCTTCTCTATTAACCCCTAAGGTTTCCTCCTGGTCCTGCCAGAGGACTCGACCGGTAGGGCTATGTAACAGGTCCTGCTTTAGAGGCGAGGATAACGTTAGGACGTTTGAGGAAGGTGTGTTGATTGCGGGGAATAAAGGGAGCATTTGGTACTAAGCACCTGCTAGTGGACTTGGTAGTATCTGGCAGACATTGGGAAAAGAGACACTGGTAGTTTAGTAAACTCAACTTTAGAGGAC